GGGGTGCAGTTTGTGTGCTCGGGATACTTGATTTGCACTCACTTGGAGGACGGTGACACATTTTCTGTTACAGCGGATCATACTCTGAACTAACCAAAGTCCCACTGTGACAAATTTAAAACCACAAATATTACATACCCCTTAACGAGTTCCCCCTTTTATTTTCCCTTAATTTCCAAAGTTATTATCTTTTGCCACACTGTGTGACAGGTTCAAATATATCATATATGATATTTTCGACACATTTGTGGGTTTAAACAATGTTTACCTGCATGCCATGAGTTTGTAATGACCAGCACCAAAACGTCAGGGGGATTGAAGAGTTTCTTCAGCCAAGTTGAGTCACCCGGAATTTAGAATTTTCTGCTTCACATCGACACAGAAAAATAGCAAATCCACACCTGGAAGCTGCACAGTCACATCCTCCACAGCTTCCACTGGAAATGTGTCTCATTGTGTGCCTTGCTTGAGGGCACTGCAGTAGGCTCGATGTTTTCTGCCATAATTTCAGCGCACATCCACAAATAGTTTGCAGGGGCTGGGGGACAATTATGAGCACCGAAAAAAGAGAAATCCTGAAGACCAGAAAAATGCACAAGCTTGTGTGAGCAAGACAGCAGTGTGGGTGTTTTTTTTTCATATTTCACTGCAGATGTTAAACGATCCATTTCAACATTATGTGGAATAATGGGATAAGAACTTCAGCTAAATGAGGTGAATGTAAATGGGCTGCTCATTTGGATCCTTAATTTTTAATTTTCTAACTGCCATTTATAGGCATATAGTACAGGAAATTGGGTTGCTGCAAATGGTATTTTCACTGTCTATAAATCGTTTTAGCATTTCAGTGAATGGACTGTGGCTTCAGCAGTAAAATGTTAGAAAGTAATGACGAACAGGCCAATCCGCCAAGAGGCCACGGAGACGTCATCAAATGTCTGGTTTTGCAACCCGGTGTCTTCAATCTTCCTTCAAATAACACGACTTTACCCTTTAAAAATCCGTGCAGTGCATTAGCGAATCCTTCCATTTACTTCTGTGGAATGCAGCCTTGTCTAAATTCCCACATTTGAGAAGCTGGAACCACAGAGTGTTTTACATTTTAGCTTAATAGATTACTTAAATTAAATCAGTTATCAAAATTGTTATGGTTCGTTTCAGTTCAGCACTAGAGTAGGCTACAATATACTGAAGTCAGCCCTACGTTCCTCATTGTGCCATTTATTTTAGGAATCATTTAGTTTGCAAAATTTAAGAGTTAAAATCTAAATTCTAAAATCATGACTTCAGAAAAAATATTAAAAAGTATTTCTTTATTGACCACATAACAGGATGAGCAACATGGAGCTTCAATCAAACGATCACAGCTTTATCTATGCATAGGCTACAGACATCTCTGGGGATATTTCAGTACTGATAACGATGGTGATGATCGACAGTAATCATGAGCCCTCTTTTCGGTTTTAGCGTCATTCTGTATTCAGAGTGACAATCTCTGTGCCACTTTTATAGGCTGTTGGTTTTTAGGGCTGCTCCTCTTCTCACCTGGGTGACCGGTCACGGTCTGCAGAAATGACACTTGATAATTTTCTTGAATGCGCTCTGAAAGTCTTTGTTGAAGTACGCGTAAATAATGGGGTTGAGCAACGAGTTGGAGTAGCCCAGCCAGTTAATGACATCCTCCAGCCAGCGGGGCATGTAGCACGACTCCTGACAAAAAGGCATGACCAGGGCGACGATGAAGAAGGGCAGCCAGCAGAGGATGAAGGTGCCCATGATGATGCCCAGAGTCTTCACCGTTTTGCGCTCCCGTGCCAGCGCGATCTTCTTTTTCGCCTCGGTCGCCTTCTCGTGCCTGCTCTCGAACAGCGGCACGGAGCTCGGGGTGTTGGGCAGCGGCAGGTTGCCTTTGGAGTTGCTGTGAACTTCGATGATCTCCAGAGACTCGCCGTCTTCCGCGTGTTTCACCGCGCCGTTTACGCTCGGCAGTGGCCGGGGCTCCACGCTCCTTTTCCAGCTCTTGCCCTGCGCGTCTCCGGGTGTCTTTTTGTGGAACAGGGCAGGGGATAACGCCAAACAAGAGTCGGACACTTTCTTTTTCTCCGTTTTACGCACAGTCCTCCTGATCCGAAACCTCGCCGCTTTGAATATCCGCCCATATAAAACCAGCATCAGCGTCAGCGGGATGTAAAAAGCCCCGAACGTTGAGTATATTGTGTACCAGGGGTCTTGCCTGATCTTACACTGCTTGGGGTTCGCCCTGTCCTCTGCCATACTGCTGGGCTGGGAGCGCATGATTAACATTGGCGGCACTGAGATGGAGAATCCGACGAGCCAGGTGACACTGATGAGGACGGCGGCTCTACGCGGTGTCCTCTTCTTCATGTACTCTATGGGCTCCGTTATCGCCCAGTATCTGTCCAGGGCGATGGCGCACAGGTGCAGGATGGACGACGTGCAGCACAACACATCCAGGGAGATGAAGATGTCGCACGGAACTTGGCCAAGAGTCCACCGGTTTAAGACCTGGTAAAGCGCCGCCATGGGCAGCACCAGCACCGACACCATCAGGTCGGTGACAGCCAGAGAACCGATCAGGTAGTTGGCCACATTCTGGAGAGACCGCTCCAAGGCGATGGCTGCAACCACGCAAGCGTTCCCAAATATTGCGCACAGGATGAGCGCGCCAAGAAGGAAGGATGTGACCACTTGATAACTCAGCTTCATCTCCTCGTCTTCAGGTTTGGGGGTTTTATTTGAAGGGTTGTCAAACTCAGACCAGGCTGTCGTATTGTTTGTGCCCTCCATTGTTGGTAAACTCGTGTTTACTCGTGTTTGGAGAGCTTCCCTTACTTAGTGGAGAGCCTGGTGCGCATCACACCGTCGCACCTTGAAGAGCTCATAGTGGACTGTTTAGTGCAGCAGAGAGGGTCTGAACTGCGAGTCTCGGCTGCTGACGGAGAATGATGCTGCTCATTTATACCAGTGATGGAAAATGCGTCATTTGTCTGTGAGGATGTAACAGAGTCTGGCTGTGTGTCTGTTTAGTCTGCAGCTGAGGCAGTGGATATGTGGGAGTTATTAAATAAGCATTGCCCTATACAAACTTGTAATATTTAACTTTTTTATGCTCTTCAGGCTGCTTGAAACAAGTGGATTTTGCCATTTCGGTGAGAAAATAAGTTTATCCGATCTTAATGCAGCTTTCTAAAATTTCCTTTGTGTTAAATTACACTCTGAGTCAAATGTCGTTGATGTTAGTGAACTAATCTGCATTGTATGTTTTTGTATTGTACTTGTGTATTAAATAATAAATGAAACCGCACTGTAATGTACTTTTATTTGATTTAATAATAATGATAATAAAGACAATAGTAATTATTTACTATTCTGTATGGGATTTTTGAAATGGAATTATTAGCCTATTTTTTGCAGAACCAGTGTTTTGGAAGATAAAAACATCGCACATGTAAAAGAAAAAAATGCTTTAAGTTTACCTTGTGAGGAGTAAATACATTGTTTATTTTATTTATTTTTATTAGCCATACCTTAATTAGGCCTACAGGACTTTCTTTTAGAAAGTAGTGACGCTTATTCTCTTGCTTTCAGCACCACGGTCAGCGCTGTGACCAGGTGTGACACTGCCACCTGGTGTATGTCCACTTTAATAAACTTTTTGAAATGGTAATGGAAATCTTTTTTATCTTACGCTAACATGGCAAAAAATAAATAAATAAAATACGTAAATAAATACAAATAAGGACCATTGAGCAAATATAGCCTAAAGTTAAATTTGACTTTTGACTAAATTTGAAGAAAAAGTAGGCCTATTTATATTCACAGAGAGGGTGTAAAAATGAATTGACCACCAACAGTAGGCTATTGCTAAACGTCACATTATTTTCTGTTAGGCAGTTGCATGACAACCCCCACCCCTCCCCCTCAAATAAATGAAATTCAGTGGGGCTTTATTGGCATGGAAAATATACATTTACATAGCAAATGTGAAATTTGCTATGTAAATGTAAACAAATATATATAGATATGTAAAATAATCTCTCTCTCTTATACATTGCTATTGTTGTTCCCATTAAGCAGGCCTACAGTACAGCTTTATGCATAACAATCCAGGTAATATTGTACTTTAGTGGAGCAAATTAGTGATGTGTCGGTTGCGAACAAGTCTGAGAATTGATTTGTTACAGTTGAATCTTGCTTATTTATTTGTTGCAACAAATAAGAATGTAACTCAAGCAGTGACCAGCAGAAGCGCTACTAACGGAGGAGCCGTTTGGGAGCTAAAAGAGCGGGCTCCCTTTAAAGAGCTGTAATTCCCATCACTAGTGCAAATACCCTTACACATTTGAAGTTGAAACAAGGAAAAGAAAAAGGAAACAACTGCCACATGAACCTGGGACTTTTGGGGCCTCTGGGGGTCTGGGACCTTGGGGCCACTTTTCCCAGTTGGTAACATTACAGCCTTGCTGTTTAGTTCTGAACAAATGCAGGCCTCAGTTTAATAAGCCCTAAAACTATGAAAACTGTTCTTGTTAATTTATTTCTAAATAGGTTTCTAAGGTTTCTTAACTTTTTAATGTTAAATACACTTTAACCTGAGATGTTATGCTAAAAATGTAGCCTATATTTAAAAATGTTTAGGCTACTTAATTTCTTTTGGGTAAATTCCAGACCAGGAAGTTGTACAAAATAATGTCTATTTTTGTTTGTTTTTGGTATGTAATTTTTTAAAATAGTGTACTGGCTTGACGGCAGAAGCTTCAGCAATCGGGAATAGTTAGATTAGTTACTTAGTTAGCACTAAGTTGTATTTTCTTTTCTTTAAGTTTTATACTTCTATTTTCTTCTATTCTCTTCCCTGTCCCGTTTGCCATCTTGGTGAACAGACGTTTCTAACCTAACATAGACTTTAACGCAAAAGGGCGCAGGCTTTTTTGTCCATTAGGCTTTCCGTAGTGGCAAATTTGTCATGACGTCACGGCCTTCCTTAAAGCGAACAGCTGCATAACTTTCTTGTTTTTGTGTCCACGTCTTCCTCGTTACCTCGACTCAAAAAGTATTTCCAGCTGCCGGGTAAGCGACTATTTGTAATAAAAATACTCAAATACTGAGTGTCATCATTTTAAAAACGTTATTTTTCGGTGAAAACGCCACAAGAGAGCGTGTTGTTATGGTTAACAGAGCTAAGTTAGCAGGACATTTGTTTTTATTCTGCCACCGTGATTGTTAACGTTAGCTGCTTAAGTGAGAGCTAAAACATGGGGAAATAAAACAGTCATTCAGTAACAGTGACTCGAAGAGTGTGAGAGTGTGTGAGAAATCCTCTCAACCTCAACACCTGAGTCACTTATTTTCATTTCGTAGCCTTATATCAGAGGGTCACCAGGCTTTAGAGCATGGTAACGTTACTAAACATTTTTTTCTTAAAAATCCAGTCAGTAAGGTTTGTGGGCAGCCCTGTGTCCCCCAGTTCCAATGAAGGGAGACCTTACAGCCAGCGAATGAAATTAGCACCTGACACCTGCCAAATACAGGGTGGATGTTTGTTGTTCGATAAACGTTTCAGGTCACCTGCCAACGTGGCAGAAAATATTTCTTATATTAATCAATATTATTTTTAAAAAAAAGCAATTCTTAAGGGGAGAATTGTCAGGGGTTACTGTGTTTACAAGTCTAAAGTGTTCTAACATTACATACACTCAAGAAGTGGCAGACAAAAACATTGAGTGGCCTGTAGAAATGTGAAGCAACCGTCCACAGTGGCAGCTGAGAGAAAAAAAAACTTTTTTAAGGTGACACTTCCCCCTGAGCATAATTCCAGTTTATTGTGGAGGAACTTGACCGGCCTGCACAGAGCCCTGAGCTCACCCTCACTCACTAATGCTCTTGTGACAAACATTTATGTTGTTAACATGTTTTACTTTTTGTCTTGGCTACATCCATACTAAATGCAGACAGCTAAATCTGACCTGAGCTCCAATATTATTTTTTTTTGCAACAGTGTGTGAGCACGTGTGTTTTCAGTTGTGTGTCGTGACTGTGAAACATTATCATCGACAGCTGGATTGAAAACGTGTTAAAGGAGCCTGAAGAAAGAGAACCATGCTCCGCTGCCGGAGGTGTCGGAAAGGCATCATAGACTCGACATGTTTGTCAGTGGTTGGTAAAAAGTTTGTGCATCTGATGGGTCTAAAGTTGCTTCTTCTGAAAGCCCTCCTTCCTTGCATTTTCTCCATCCAGTAAGCTGCTACAGACCTTGCTTGTGAGGAAGTGTTGACTCTGTCCTAGTCCCAAACAATGAGTTGATCAATAAGTTATAAACCAATCATCAGAAAATCACTAATGATTCTGATGATTGTTTACAACATTTTACGAGCAATGTCAAACATTCTGTGTTGCCAATTTCTCATATGTGAGGATTTAAAGTCTCTGTTTTACGTCAATGTAACTTGAATATCTTTAGTTTTTTGTGCTGTTGGTCGGACAAAACAAGACCCTGAAGACGTCACTTTGGGCTCTGGGAAATTGTGATGGGTGTCCTATTCTATTATCTCACATTTTATAGGCTAAATGATTACTCAATAAATCCCTCCCAAAATGTGATAATGAAAATAGACAATAGGTGCAGCCCTAATTATAGCTAATAGTCAAAGTAAAGTTGTTAGGGAACATCGGGGTTGGGGAAAGATAACAGCTTGTGTTTCAGTCATAATAAAAGACAGCTGACCATATTCAGAGAAACTGGGTCTGATGGGAAGTGTCCTGGTTGATTGTGTCTTTTTATGTTGACGCAGGTTGAGGCCACAGATGAAAGCTCAGCTGCTGTTTGCAGTATTTGGCATGTGAATGTTGACACGTTGCCAGAGTGGATACTGAGCTCAGTTCACCAGGTAAGCGTCTCACCTTAGGAATGAAGTGTCTGCAGTATTAAATTATTTTTTTCACTGAAAGAAAGGTAAAAAATGTATTGTTTATTTTTTGTCATGTAGATCAGGGCACACTTTGAGCAAATAGTTTCACATTTTTGTTTTTCAAATTAAAAAGTTAACTTCATGTATATTTTAGTTTATTATTTGAAATTAAGTTGTGCACAACACCAACTTTTAAAGCGATCTAATAATCCTGCATGATATTTGATGTTTATATTTTAGTGTTTATGTTTTAGTTAAATTGTAATTAAAAAAAATATATTTAAAAGTAAATGTGTGTAATTTTATTTTAGTGAGTAATAAGATTTGTTACCACAACTGATGCATTTTAATTGAAATTACTTTACTGCAGCTGCAATTTCAAAAGTGCCTGTCTAAATACATTTACCCTAGTTTTATACAATACAATAAAACATGTTTGATCATTGTACTGTTACAATGAAAAGATGAGTCGATAAATCAATTAGTAGATTCACAGAAAATGAATTGACTGCAATTTTGGTGAATAATTTATCATTTCAAAGTTCTGTTTGTAACTGTCAGAAAACCCTCGTTATTAATGACACCGGTGGCTGTTAACAAAACTGCAGTCTGCCTCCTGTTGCTCGGTGTCTGCGGGCTTGACACTGAATGCTGGGAAATAAATTACAACCATATTTAGAATAACATTACTATTTGTAATGTTCCTTTATTTTATTTGGAACTACTGGCTCCGTGTTGCTGACTAGCTTTCCATTTGCAAATCACCTCATCAGCCAACGCCATGAAGCAACCAGTGCCAGACCACTCTACGCCTCATAGCAAAGCCAAAGCCAGCTGGAAAGTTACAGTTAGCTATTTGCCCGCTTGACTAGTAGAAAGCAAACACCCAGCCAGACAAGCCGGACCAAACGCCACTATAAGCGGTTCCCCTTTTATCCATTCAGTAGCGGCGGTGCTCCAGTGTTGAGAACATTAGGGACAAGCTTAGACTAAACTGGTGTAGCCTACAGTTCTGTCCTGTACACAGACTGTACATCCTAATAGTTAGTTAACTATTTTTCAGTTTTCACTTTAGCAAAGCAAGTTAGGGATGGAAACGAGATGTTTCTTTTGGATTTTATTATGCAGATGAAATGCTTGGTAATTAAGGGAGATGGTTCGCAAGTTGCCTATTTTTCATATTAATTTCGACTGATAAATGTCAAAAGCTTTAATTGAGACACAAAAGGCAACATGAAAAATCCTATCTATAATGATTTAGAGGTCATATTAACAGGGTTTCCCTGCTATTAAAGGCTTAAGAGGTGAAGGCCAAAATGGCTTGGATGCTGTGCCATGTATGTAAAATCACTATGGAGAGAGCATGAAATTTAAACTCTCTACTTTGTCTCTACAGACAAATTCTTCAGCAAGTTTCCTTAGTTTTTTTTATTTATAATCTGCTCTAGCTTTTCCAACTATTTGGTCACAGATGAAGTAAAAATATAATGGTCCCTAATGATGTGAAATTGCACATTTGTCATTAGAAAAAGTAAAATTTTCTGGGGGGAGGACCCCCAGCCACCACCACTACCACCAAATATGTGCATCGAAGACTATGGGTCACTGAAATTTTAAGCTATTCTAATGTCCATTATGTGTTCATGGACACAACCGCACTGCTGCTGAGACATGTTATATTGGGATTTTCATATTAAGACATGCAGCAGGGCTCACTATGTGCTCACTATATTCTTTTTCGCTTCCATTCTAGGGGAAACACTGCATTCAGATATTATTTTATTAGCGGGCATGCAAGCTAAGGTTAGCCAGCCAGCCATCTGCAACCCAGTCATGCTGCATGGGCCTACACCGCCCACACCACACCAGTCAACAAAGCAACCTGCAAACGGCAAGCCAGCAAATCTACCTGCAAGATCAGTCCAAGAGTCTGGATGAATTAGCTGACACTATCCACTCAAGACAGTATTTTGCTATGTTAACCAGCTAGCAGTTATTCTGTGTTAGCACGCAACTTAAGGTTAGCACACAACCTAATTTTAGCCAACATTATCCAGCTAAAACCACAATATCACAATGTATCCCCAAGCGGCAGCCTGTGGGGCTGACAAATGCATACAGCATGGAATGGGGGGGGGAAAGTGCAGTTCCTCCATTTCCCCATTTAACAACTTTATATATGATACCTTTTTAAATTAGAGGCTTAAAGAAAACTATAGTTGCGGCTCTATATTTTTGTTCATACAATAAAGTAAAAGGGATTTAACTTTTTATTTTCTAAAAGAATGAATCCATTGTAAAATGTGGTTATGAATTATGTTTCTGTGGTTTCTGTCTAGGCCCAGTGGACTGTAGGAAAACTGAACTGCCAGAACTGCACAGCTCGTTTGGGTGGCTTCAATTTCATTAACCGTTTTGAGTGTCCCTGTGGCCTGGACGCCACTGTCCACCTTAACAAAAGCCGTGTGGACGATGACCACAAACGTTACGTTCTCATCGTCCAGCCGAGGAGGACAAGGCCCGAAAAGGGACGTGCCGGTCTGCCAATAGACGTCTCTCAGAACAAAGAGCAGAGGCCTGAATTTAACAGGACTGCATTGGACAGTTTACAGCTTAATTGTGCTGCTGTCATGTCCCACATCAGCCCTGCAGAGGCCTCTAATTCACTGGCTGACGATGAAAACACCCAGCCATTCTCTTTCAGTCCTCTGTACTGCATCTCTCAAAGGAGACGGCGCAGTTTGGAAGATGATGCCGTCATCAGTTCATCATGTTTTTGCGCTGCAGGCCCTACGGACAAGTCTGCTGTTGAGATGACAAGAGCCGGCACAGATGAGTCTCCACGGCCTCCTGTTTCGTATCCCACAAGTCAGCACTTTGACCTTGATGGTGAAGCGTCTGTCAACGCTGTCGCCCGTCGTTCATCTATTTCTGGAAGGACACGGTCACCTCTGAATCAACAGCTCCCACAAACTGTGGAGGATGTCGAGTCATCTCCAGGGACCACGACTGTCCACGAGGAGGTTTCTGATTCAGCCCTGTTCCTCAGAGGGAGATCCATCTCTGACAGTGTAGCAGAGCATGACGAGGAATTGGTGGTATGTTGCTGCTTTTTACAGTTATGTGTGTAAAAAGGATTTCCTTGAGTATTTCATGGTGGAAGTGGGACCCAGCACCTGAAACAAATACCACATCCACTAAAACGTTATGAAATAAAATAGTTTCTCCCAGGAAATTGCAGTTAAGAGGAATTGAAATGTGCCTCTAGAAACAGAATAAGAAAGAAAAAAATTTAAAGAATGTAGATATAGCCAATTTTCTATTTAATGAGGTATCATGAAACCAACAGCCTGATTTTCATAGAATGTGCTGCGGATATTCATGGTGTTTACGCTGACCTTCGGACCTTTTTCTGCAGGGCCAAAATGCCTCATCTGCAAAAGAATGTGAAATGTCAAAATGCAATTCCATGGAATGTACTTTACTGAAAATGATGTTCCTCAAAGGATCTTTGAGTGTCTGGGGTAGTGTGCCTGACTGTGTCTGTGTGGCAGCTCAGAACTTACCAGAAAGCCCAGTCTCTTTCTTTCATTTCCTTCTAGTCTCCCCCTTTTCCTTTCCTCTCTCTGTTTATGAAGCAGATTCATAAAGCCCTGGGATATGCACACACATTTCACTCAAGTTCAAACATTAGATCGATGCGCCTATTTTGCCTGAATTAGCACCTCTCCCTATATATTTTAATGCAGTGAGCTTCCACTAGAATTCATGTTCTGTTTGAACATAGTTAGCTAAATTGTCTGTATGTTTTGTGGTCTGTCCAACACTGTAGTAGTGTGGGAGGTAGCGAACACTGTAGCATCTAGGGGAAACTTTCAGAACCTTTTTATACCCTTAACACCGCAGGAAAGCAACTTACCAAGCATTTATCTTCCTCATGGATCTTGTTTCAGCCGTTGAATCCGCGACTGGGACTGTGATCCTTAACGTTTGTTACTTTACTTTCTCAGCCTCAAGCCTTTATGGCCTCCCCGGACTCAAGCAGACTGAGCAAAAGAGAGAAGAACCGTCTGAAGAGCTTGCGCAGGAAACAGAGGAGGAGAGAGCGATGGCTGCACAGTGAGCTGGAGCAGGTGAGAGAGCAGAGTTCACACTGACATTGTGGGCGCATGCAGGATCTAATTCACAATTACCACTAAACAAGCCCCCCGTCACCACCCACCGCCCCAAGGCAACTAATTGCGATTGTAATTAAAATGAAACTAACTGGATCACAAATGGAAAGCAGTGAGAGGGGGACCCAAAATTCATGACCTCTACCTAAATAATATATAACAGTATTCACAATGTCAAAGATATAGATGATATTCTTGTATAGGTATATACACTCACTAGCAACATTAGGTACACCTACAATTGCTTGTTAACACAAATAGTTAATCAGCCAATCACATGGCAGCAGCTCAATGCATTTATGCAAGTAGACTTGGTCAAGACATCTTGCTGAAGTTCAAACAGAGTATCAGAATGGGGAAGAAAGGTGATTTAAGTGACTTTGAACGTGGCATGGTTGTCAGGAGTATTTCAGAAACTGCTGATCTACCGGGATTTTCACACAAAACCATCTCTGGGGTTTACAGACAATGGTCTGAAAAAAGAGAAAATATCCAATGAGCGGCAGCTGTGTGGACGAAAATGCCTTGTTGATGTCAGAGGAGAATGGGCAGACTGGTTTGAGATGACAGAAAGGCAACTGTAACTAAAATAACTCGTTACAACCAAGATATGCAGAATAGCATCTCTGAACGTACAACACGTTGAACCTTGAAGCAGATGGGCTACAGCAGCAGGAGACCAAACCTGGTGCCATTCCTGTCAGCAAGAACAGGAAACTGAGGCTACAATTCACACAGGCAAAATTGAACAATAGAAGACTGGAAAAACGTTGTCTGATCTGAGGAGTCTCTGTTTCAACTGCGACATTCTGATGGCAGAATTTGGCATAAACAACATCAAAGCATGGATCCATCCTGCCTTGGATCAATGGTTCAGGCTGGTGGTGGTGGTGTAACCGTGTGGGGGATATTTTCCTGGCACACTTTGGGCCCCTCAGTACCTATTGAGCATCGTTTAAATGCGATAGCCAGTATTGTTGCTGACCATGTCCATCCCTTTCTGGCCACAGTGTACCCATCTACTTCCAGCAGGATAATGCACCATGTCACAAAGCTCAAATCATCTCAAACTGTTTTTTTAAACTTGACATTGAGTTCACTGTACTCCAGTGGTCTCCACAGTCACCAGATCTCAATCCAACAGAGCACCTTTGGGATGTTGGAACGGGAGATTCGCATCATGGATGTGCAGCCGACAAATCTGCAGCAACTGCTGGATGCTATCATGACAATATGGACCAAAGGCTGAGGAGTGTTTGCAATACATTGTTGAAAGTTTGCTCCAAAGGATTAAGGCAGTTGATGATTTTGCAAATTAAATCAAATGTGAAAAAGAATTCCATATGTTGAATCTGTAAATTTGACATAAATCAGACTTGTAATGAACTGGACTCTCTAAATTCATATCTTGAAAGTAAAATGAAGGGGAGGAAAGTATGGGAGAGGAATGTGAAAAGGCTTTTAGCCATAAAAAAAAAAAAACAACATATGATCAGAAGCAAAACCACAGCATTTGTTAGTTAAAATCTAAGGTGAGAATTTTAAACATTATACATGAATTTTGTTACTTTAGAAAATATATATTGGAAAATCTTTGGTGTGTGTGAGAGAGAGATCAGGAAAGCCACCTTGATCACAGAGGACCCCTCTCACCCTCTCCACCACTCTTTCCAGTTACTGTTACCATCAGGCAGGTGAGATAAAGTTCCTCTGGCTCGGAAAAACACCAGCCATGAAATCTTTTATGCTGTCTGCAATAATCACTCTGAACAACAAAAAATAGACATTGTACAGCTGATGTTTTTTTTTAATGTAGGTTTTAAATCAGACAATAAAGTTATCTATTTATTATATCTATATCTATCCAGGCTAAGAGTGTGAGCACTTCACTGCTGGACAGTGAGGAGGAGGACAGAGAGGGTCTCACCTGCGCCGTGTGTCTCGATGTCTACTTCAGCCCGTACAGCTGTCAGCCCTGCGGTCACGTGTTCTGCGAGCCGTGTCTCCGTATAATCACCAAGAACCGACCCACAGACACACCCTGCCCTCTGTGCCGCACCCTGATCTCTCATACCAACTTCGACAAAGGTGAGCTTCCTCCAGGGCTCATGCTCCAAAACCAAATACTGAAATATGTGATGTTATGTCCATGTCCTGTCTGATACCGGTGTTAATAAAGTAAATGGGCAAAACCATTTTGCCCATATTATTGGAATGCTAGACATTCTCCAATAAGGATTTGTTGTTTTTCTCTGTTATAATTTTAAATTGGGTATCTTTGGGCTTTTGGACAAAACAAGCAGTTTAAAGATGTCCCCTAGGGCTCTGTTAAGGTATTTTTCATAGTTTTCTGACACTTTATAGACAAAATTAGTTGTTCTCCCTGTACACACGCGGGAAACTTTTAAATTGCCAGGAGGTATAAATGTGAATAGTTGTCTGACTGGATGGACTGGAGACCTGTCTAGGTCTACACCTCCTCCTGCCCAACGTGTGATTGTCTCCTGCCACTCTGCACAGAGAATGGATGCATACAAAAATATTACTCATGTTAATCATTAGTCGCAGCCCTGCCTTTGAAATGACCTACAGTACATTAATGAGTAGTAATGGCTTACTGTACTGTTCTCATTCCTCTTCAGATCTCAACCAAACGGCTAAGACCTTCTTCCCAAAAGTGTACCATGCCCGCAAGCAGAATTTCAAGAGCGCTTCGTGTGCAAAATGGCCTCTGCCCAGCTGTCACAAACACTTCCGTATCTTCTGGAGTGAGAAAGTGTTTGCAATAGTTGTAGTAGCATTTTTATTTTTATTTTGTCTGCAGAGTATCAATAACGTGACTGTGAAGTATCTGGATTATCCTAACTAACCAGGATTTGCTGTTTCAGAAGAGATGGTTCAGTTTACCACTAGATGCTATTTTAAAACAAAAATTGTCTCTCTGTATGACTGACCTCATTTTCATGATTTCCTCACTGAGAATCCAGAAATGTTGCTTTTCCCCCTACAATTTATTGGCAATAATAAACTTTATCCTTACAGCAGTTGACAATTCATTCCTACTAATGGCTTTACAAGCAATACAACAGAAGTGATACAAATCCAGAGAGATAAACATGATTGCATAGTGAATGTACTGTACATGGTGTGTGGAATATGGTGTTTGTAAAAACGTTGTAAATAACAAAACAAATAACATAAAAGTGTTCTTTACTGGAAAAACATCTCTCAAGTTATTTAACCGCATAATCTGTGGAAGATGGGGGATGCCAATATTAAAATTAATGAAAGTGAATTTTTTGAACATACAGAATTACAGCCCATATGTTCAACCCAAACTGGACATTTTAACTGCAAACTGTGCTTTTAAATATGAATAATGTCCTGATTTTAGACCATTCTTAAAGAAAATGAAACAGATATGGTTACCAGCCAGATATTGCTAGCCCTGGGATTCCATTATATTCAGCCAGAAGGATAAAAAAAAAAAAACAAGAAATAATTCTGCCAAACACTTTGTTTTCCCACACAGTTTCCCTTGGATCAGGGATTTTGTGAGGAATCGGTTTCAATAAAATAAATAAAAATGTTAGAACATTTCAGAATCAGCAATAGGTTAAATAACTTTTTTTTGCGTGAAAATGTTTGCATTGCTCTCTAAAATAAATTACTTTACAATATTTCAAACTGGCAGAAGGATAAATTGTTTTTAATCACTTTGAATACAGTCATTTTATCTGTCTAACTTCAGGAGATCAGAGACGGGCAGTGATGGCAGGAAGACGCTGGCACTTTGCCCATGGAGGTTTCACGCTGGATCCTTTGGACCTGACTGACATGCGCGGCTGGCTCTTTGACATCGGCCTGGTCACCGTCTACATCCACTCAGTCACCTGGATCCTGGCCTTCTTGTTCCTCTGTTTGCTCACATACTATTTCTTTTTTTGAGACACTGAGGAATTGCAGTGCAGGGCAGTTTTTTTCTTTTCTTCAAAGTGTTTGTGTGTGTGTGTGTAATGTGGTTTTCCTGGTCAAACCTGTTTTTAAGTGGCAAAGTATTTTACAAATGGAGGTGGTCGTGATGTGCATAGAAGCAAGGAGCAGGAAACTGATCATTTGCAGGTTTGCACGCTTGCAAAAGTTGAAAATATGGGTCACCTGACTACAAATATTTTAAAATGTAATGATTTGAACAAAGCTTAGAGCCCAACACCCATTGTATAATACACTTAGGAGTTTTGAGAGAAATAATGGGCAGAGCTGAAGTACAGAAAAACTGAAGCGGAGTGGTGTTTCATCTGTTAATTTACTTTGCACATCAGGAAGACCTTGTCAAAAGGGTGCTGTTTGGTGATGAAATCTTTGGGTTATGGAAGTATTTATCAGACAGAGAAAAACAAAAGATTGATGCCACCCTCAAGTCTGTGAGTTAAGTACGGTGCTGGAGCCCGGAGGCAATTAGCCTTGCTTAGCATAAAGATTGGAAGCAGCTAGCCTGGCTCGGTCTGTAGTTCAAAAATATGCCTACCAACAACTCTACTAATAAACATTTTATTGTTTAATTATTACGCTCTTACATTATGTGCTTCTGATTTGTTGGTGCTGCCTGTTCCTCCTGTTCGCCCCCCCCCAATCTCTCTCTCTCACATACATGAGATCATTAATGATGGTTCTCATCTACCTCTCTAAATAAATGCAAATATATTGAAACTATTTGATGTAGCATAGGCAGAATATTAGGAGACACTATGACACTTACTGAAAAATGAGGGAGAGTCCGCTATAGACACAAAACTTCAAATTTAGAGTCATTGCTCCTGTGTCATTGGAGGAAGTTCAGCTTTGTGTTTTGTTGATGCTCATTGAAATTGTGTAATTTACATCACATTTGAAGTGAGATGCACTGCTGTGAAAGTTTTGTTTCTACGTGTACATGTTTTATTTACAAAGTAGAGGGATGCTCAGGACTCAAATTTCTGAACAGGTTCTAACAGATTCACAAATGGGGAAATTACCCGTTTCAATGGTGCCTTTGCTTAGTCTGTGCTTTCTGTCTATAACAAATAATATAAAACTGGAATTGAGCAGCTTTTAGCTCTCTGGCACAAAATTTTCTCCATTCACAGGGAGAGAGACATTTAAAGAATATAAAGTTTTCACTAAACACTATGTCTTTTTTTATTGAAGGAAAAGTTTGATTAAGAAAATCTGTGTTAATATTGTGTAAGAGTTTATTGTCTTGCTACAAATCAACTAGAAAGAATAAAAGGTGTGTTATTTGAGCTATGCATCTATTCATCATTTTTTTTTTTTTTTTAAGATGAAATGGGGCCAGATTCAGCCCTTCGGTCTTGAGGAGAGTGAAACTGAGAGCAAGAACAAACCCACTGCATCTGTTTTAATTGTAAATCTGTTTACACTCTCTGGTTTAATAAGTCTTTGTTTTTTGTGCGTTCAGCTCAGTGTGAAAAGTAGTAACGGGTTGGGCCACATTAATGAATTAATGGAAGTAGTTTCTATCAAATACAAAACTTATTTTAACAAACTGATGAAACCTGTTTTTTTCCCTCCTCTCTACATTTCTCAAATAACTTGTAACAGTGGGTTCCTTTAGTTATTACCAGTGGTGTAAATGAAAAATAGACCCCTCTTCTGTGTGCTGGATCAGGGACAATGTCTTTCCAAAATATTTTAGTTTAGTACAACAACAGTAAAGTGATAGTCATAGTGCTACGAAGTCCAAAGTTTTGGTGGACAGACAGAGTAGTAGTAGTAGACATGGCGACTTCCATGTAAGGGGTGTTGTAAATAGAAATGGCTCTTTCTAGGGTAATAAAAACATAACGGTTCATTTTGTAAGGTCTTTATATTGCATTTCTGTCAATAGATTTTAAATAGGACACACTGAACCTTTCAAGGCCTTATTGTGTTAGCTTATTTTGAACTTCCTCTGCCACCCAGTGGCCCAAAGAGCTACTGCAGCTTTGAACAATAACACTGAGAATAGATGAGGGAATAAACTAGAGAGACACTCACCTATCAAGCAATTTTCTCAACCTATAAAAATGTGAAAGCCTGGTTTTTAGCCTTTTCTATGCTCTAACAATAGAGACCCTCCCATCTTCCATGTAGACTGCCTCCAAAAATCCATCACTTTGCCAAGTAGCTTTCTCTGCTGTTAAGTTTTTGGAAGTCCTTCTTGGGGGGATAGTATAATAAATAAATAATTTAAAACGTAAATAAAACATGTGGCAGTTCAGTCAACTGTAGGGAATAATTTAGTTTGACCCAGAGGGCCCTCACATAAGAAGAGAAATAGCCTATTTGTCATACATAGGCCTATTCAATACGGTTTGAATTTCAAATGCACGCATTCCTTTATATAAAAAAACATAAACACCCTACTGTCAATCTGAAACCTTTCCCTCCTCCAATAGAACAATAATAAAGTAGGCTACAGGACATTCATGTGATGGCTGTAAGCAGCATTTAAATGCCCCTCATCAGTCAGTTGTGATAATGTAATGTCACAGGGATAATCCCGGTTCTTGTTGTTTCCTGGGCCACTGATGCTCCTAAACAGTTAACCGTCATTCGGTGGGTGACGACTTGTTTTGCTGTTGGCTCCCTCTGAATCCACCTCACACGTGAACGCGCGGCGGAAGACGGAGGAGCCTCCCTCTCGGCCTTCAGGAGGGGCTGAAGGTGACTCTCCTCGGCTGGGATGCAGTGGGAGCTGCTGGGGGTCCGTCCGGCCCGCTACACGGTCCTGCTCCGGGATTAACGACTATAACAACTCCTGCGGGGGCTCTAAGCTTCCACCAAACCCTCCACCCCGCTGCGTCTGAGCGGGGACTCTTCTTCTTTAGAGAGGACACAGCAGCTGCCAGAAAAGAGAGGTCTGTCTCTCTCTGTGTCTCTGTCTCTCTGTCTCTGCCTCTCTTCCTGCGTCTGGCCTGGCTCCGGTGGTGGGTGTGCATGCATGTGTTCTGCACCGTACGGGCGGAAAAAGCGCCCAAGATCTGCGGGGATCATTTTCCCCATCAGTAAAGTGGCGCAGACGGAGCCGGAGCGCCGGGTGAGCACGGAGGGGGCCGTGGACGACAGCAGGATGGTGAGTACTGAAATCCAGCCTGTTAATGATTGGAGAGAGGTCCGCGTTTAGCGTAGCTCTGCACCAAAGGGCAGGTTGCTGTATTTACCAGATAGAACCGATTTCATCATGTGCAGGTGCAGCAGTGGCGCAAAAGGCACAAAGGACACAGCGCACAGAATCCTTTTTTTTTACGGTTAAATTTTTATTGTAGTCTTTCCTTCCTTTGAAGATGCCATGTTTGTTCAGGCTTAACAACAGGTCGGTGGTTATTTTTCTCCAGACTGTCCAGGAATTCAACACCCTCGTTGCGCTGTACCGGGAGCAGGTCATATCGGTCGGGGAGATCTCAGCCGACTGTCCGTCCCTGCGGGCTCAGATGCACCACACACGGTCCAAAGGATGCTCCATGGCCCGGGCTGCTCACCAGGACCTCGCCGTCATCTCCGTTTCAGGGTAAGAAGGAAACAATGAGTGATTGTTTTTAAAAGAACATATTCTGGCTATCACTTTTTATGAAACATTTCAGCTTTGCCTCATTGTTTGTTTCCAAGCTCTTTTTAACCTCTTAAACCCCGATTTTCTTAGGAAAAACATGGATTCACACTGTATGACTGCAATAACTTACATATCCGCATGTTCCAGCAATCCCTTTGATTGTATCATGCTTAGAACAATTTAAAAAACAAAAAACATTTCATGGCACCTTTCAAAAAAAGTTACAAAGTGATTGACAGAAAAACAGCAGAATACAAAACGGGGAATAAGTATTGATATTCTAACATAATGAGGTGACAAGCTGACAAAGTTGAATAAAACAAAATCAAAACAACTTAATATGGTTCAGCACAGTTAAAATGGGCACAGCTGAAAAGGAAGTGGACTGTTTTTTTTATGTTCCATGAAGCCACCATTTCCACACACATTTTAAAACAGAGGAATGGGTTTTTTTAAAAATAAAACACTGGAGACACTAGTATGAAAATACACAAACAAATTTAAGTAATTTGTTGAAGTGGCTGTTATGGTATTACTTTGGTACTACAGTACAGACTATATAACAATAAACCCTCCTACTGCTGTATAACATGAATTTGACAAAAGTTCACAGTGATGGGTTTTTGTCAGCAAGTTAGCTTTTTTACAAAATTAATGAAAAATAGTGGGGAAACATGTTTAAAAAGCTTAATCTGCAGTATGTTTCGGATCATCATTGATCATCTTGAATGTAAAGTACAAATTGTATCTCTTTCTCTCTGTTTTCCTCTCCTCCCCCCTCGCTGCAGTCCGGAGGACGGAGAGATCCACCCTGAGATCTGCCGGCTCTTCATCCAGCTGCAGTGCTGCCTGGAGATGTTCATAACAGAGATGCTCAAATCCATGTGCCTGCTGGGGGTGCTGCAGCTGCACAGAAAAAGTACAAAAATCACAGTTTTATTATGACACAACTTTTCAAGAAAAAAAAAATACACAACTAATGAAAATCATGTTTCTTTTAAAGCCAGTTTCAAAATAATTGATTACCTATAGGCATAGTGTTGATGATTTTTAAAACCAGGATGTTTCTGAAACTGCTTGTATTATCACATTTTAAAACATGATTATACATTTAAAATGACACACAGAAGAGCAAATAACTATAAGGGTAAGGATACATTTTATTCTTAATTTTACGTGGCCATCACGTTCATCCTCTTATCAGTCATCACAATTACTGAGGATAATGTGGGCTGTTTGTAAGGATGTGTGTCAAACTGCACTGTCACACTAGCTTTTGTGTTAAGGTATCTATGTAGGCAGATGGGGAAGAGAGCACAAATGTGGCTCAAAAAATGAATCAATAATGAGGTAATAATCAGCATTATAACTTTCACACAGGCAGTAGTTAACATAGTTAACTCTAGTGTCGACCAACGTTTTGAAAAATAAATCAGAATAACATCAGGAGCAGGCTTATCTCAGGTAACACTGTCATTACCTACAACAATGGTGGTAACAGTAGCAGTAGTGTGGGGATGTCTGTAAATAGAAAACCCCTGCAGTGAATAAACTAGACGGACCCTCGCCTACTATCAAGCAGTGTTCTCAACCTAAAAAAATGTGACAGCCTGGCTTTAAACCTTTTCTATACTCTAACAACAGAGACCCTCCCATCTTCCATGTAGACCCCCTCCAAACCTCCATCACTTTGTCAAGTAGCTTTCTCTGCTATTGCGTTATTGTATGTCCTTGGGGGAATATAATCCATCCATCCATCTTCATCCGCTTATCCGGGATCGGGTCGCGGGGGGGAATATAATTTAAAAAATAATTTAAAATGTAAATAAAACATGTAACAGTTGAGTCAACTCTAGGCAAGAATTTAGTTTGACCTAGAGGGCCCTCACATAAGAAGAGAAATATACATTTGTCATACATTTTCAATGCAGTTTGTATTTCAAAATGCATGTATTCATGAATAAACACCCCCACCCAAATATTCCCACTTTCTGAGCATTGCACATTTTATGTCTGGAAATCAGATTATGCAGTGATGCATACGATGATTAAACAATTTAAAGGCATTTCTGTTAAGTATATTAACCCTTTATTCCTGTTCAATGCAATCACACCTTTGAAACAGCAGAGGGCAGTAGAGAGTTGTTAGTGTGGTCAACGTATACAGATTGATTTTCCATTGCATTTTTTAATAACAGATTGTGTAAAAATTCAAAACAAAACATTTTTTAAGGAGCAGATGAAATTAAATTTTTTTAAATGGAATTTTACCATCTGTTCATCACAGATATCAGAAATGATTCACTTTTTAAAGAAATTTATGAGTTATAAATGCAGTAAGGACCTTGACATACAACAAACAATCACAGTAGAGATGGTGGTGTCTTTGAAATACTGCGTAGTGAGCACCAGAACTTCCTTAAGGGAGGAAATCATCCATTGCTTTAAAGACGTGGTTGTTTTGAATGTGAATGATCTTTCTCTGTGCTGCTGTCTCTGTTCGGACCTGAAGGAACAGACTCGGAGCCGAAGCTGGACTTCAGGGTGGATGAAAGCTCGGACGTTCCCATCCTGGAAGAACGATCCTCCTCCCCCATCGACTTTCTGCAGGAGCAGTGGCTGGTGGGAACTGATATTGAAAATATAGAGAGGTACACCGACTGCACCTTCTTTTAAATTAATTCTTTTTTGATGCTGTGTAAACTGCTGTGAATTCGGACTGCAAATATCTGTCTGCTGAGTCAGTGTGTACTTTTTTTTCACAGAGATATGCGAGAGATGCGAAACCTACTCAGCAAACTCAGGGAGACGATGCCCTTGCCACTGAAAAACCAAGGTATGAAATGTTTGTGATAGATGAAATTCACAACACCATCAATACATAACAGTTGAAAGAAACCTTTTGCACAACAACAACTTTTATTTCTTTCTGAAGTTTTCCAATTCTAGATGCATAATCCAGAGTGATTTATATTGATAGATGCATCAATGGAGAGGAGATGAGGGGGAAAAAATGAAAAATATTTATTTCAACAACATCCGTAAAGAGTTGTGGTCCCTCACAAACAGTCATGAGATGAATCTAAGAGGTTGACAAATGATTGCTGGGAAAATAAGAAAAAGGAGGAACATAAAAGAAGGGACATAACCAAGGAATCACCCACCCCACCTTTAGTCTATCATCGACTTCCTGCCACCACTCCTCGCTGAATTGTTGTACCAGTTCCTCCTCCCAGGCCGTCTTTGTTTTGGAGTTTGTGTAGTTGCAAAGATTCAAAATTAGGTTTAATCTTGACTTTATTTTTTATTGTGACAAACTGTATTGGTTTACTGTTCCAGGCCTCTGAAAATTATTAAAGGAATAGTTTAACATTTTGGGAAATACGTGTGTTCACTGTATTGATGGGAGTTATATGAAATAATTTATATGTATGCCAACAGCCAGTTAGCCTAGCTTACCATAAAGACTGGAAACGGGGGGAAACACCTAGCCTGGCTCCATCCAAAGCAAAGGTGGAGCAGGGGGGGTGATTTCTTGGCTGCGAGCCCCGAATGTTTTCTCAAAAGCACAGAATCTTTTAGGTTTTTAATAGAACTTTAATTTCGCCTTGCTCTCTCTGACTGGAGCAGCAAATCAATGAATCAAAAGTTCTGTTACTGGGGAAATATCGCCATCTAGCCTATAGGTCCTCCTTAGCATTGTCATAAGGGGGTTGTTGTCTTGTGTATTTATGTTTCATTCACTCATGTCACCTTAGTGAGCAAGCTTGCTAGCTAGCTAACCAGCTTGGGACTATGGAAATAAAAGTTTTCAGGAGGAGTAAACCTCAGCTGCCATCCGCAGACTTGGGCTAGTATCAGTGAGTTAGTGAGGTGACTAGCCAAAAATGTATCGCTGACTAGCTAGCTAACGTTAACCAAGTAATAATAAAAATAATAAGCTAGCTTAATTAAATGAATCACTCTCCAGTCACATCACATTGCGACTCATACGAAATGTCAAATAAATACCAACCATTAAGTTTAAAAGCATGAGCCCAGAGTGGCACTCAGATTAAACTACACCAAAAGGTACATTCATGATCGTGTCAGATCTGTTATCTTGGGTTTTTGCACACTGACGTCTATATTTAATGTATCACTTCTGAACAAAAGATTACAGCTTTAATAATAAATCAGCAAGGTGCCGTGATGCTTTGGCCCTTGTTTTACAAGCCACCAGATGTCACTGTGTTTGCTGAGTTTAAGTTCCTCATAGAGAAACTATTCAATTCCGGATATTGAAGACCAAACCTACTTGGCATTTTTGGGGATCCTTGATTTGCTATTAGAGACTAGATTATTATGGCATGGATTCAAATGTAGCTGATCTGTCAACTAAATATTCACTCAGCTCCAGCACAGTCTCATTACGTAGTATAAAATCGTTTTCTGTATTAGCAATGCTGTCTATGCCGAATTCCTACCCCTACCTATGTTATGTAACTTAAAAATAGTAACATCAGACAATTTTTGCCACTTTTTAGGTAGCTGGAGTGAAAATTAGTGATCCAATTTAAAGAGAGAGGTACACAAATCCAAAAACAAATAGTACAACCCTTGACGGGGATTTGTATTTAGAGGACATTGAAGTAGTCATTAAAGCAAAATGGTAACCAGTCTAACAAAACTTGAAAATTAATTAAAAAAGAGAAATTAATAAAACAAAAGGAAAAAAGGAAGCGGAAAAAGGTAAATAATAAAAATAATACAGTATTCACATGATTGCTCACAGCTCATAGACGTGCAAACTGTGATGAGGGCTCACAGGAAGACACTGCTTCATATTAAGGGTTCACAAGTAAAAAGGTTGGGAACATTTAACTTTGTCTTTGTGATAGAAACACAGAGCAGGATGACATGATGATGCTTGATTACAGCTTTCCAGACACTCCCCTCTGGCAGGAGGCTGCGGCCCATCAGGACCAAAACCTCACACCACATGAAAAGTTTCTTCCTCATCAACAAGGCCCGGGATCTACTTGGCAATAAAGCTGTTTCTGATTTCCGATTCTGATTACAATGTTTGTTTGTTCCAGATGACAGCAGCTTGTTGAATCTGACTCCACATCCGCTGATCAGACAGAGGAAGAGACGCTTCCCTGGACTCTGCTGCATGGTGTCTGGCTGAGAGTCTGAAGGCAGCACTACAGTCAACACACATAGGAAAGGACTTTGATTTGATTTTGTGATCTATGTTAAATAAGAGATTCTCTTATTTCATTCTCTTCTTTATGTAGTTACAGTATTTATTTCCATATTATCTGAAATTTTAATCTTGTATTATCTGTTATCTGATTCTGTCCCATTTTGTCTTTTTCATCTTGATTACTCGTTTTGCTGGGAATTTTGTTTGGTTCTTGAGTTACTCATGCTATTTTCAGACGTGTTTTGTGGCGGAAGAAGTGTTTCAAGTAGATAGTACATACACAATGCCCAGTGGAAAGAAGGAAATGTTGTCAATTGTCAGTACCATTCAGGTTCTGTTGGGTCGGACCTTAAAAACACAGGCATGGGGGCCAGGTTTGGGTTTTAGGCCCTTGCAGAACTCTATTTTGTTTTCTAGTTCTTTTTAAGCAGAGGCATCTTTGCTTTTTCTTTATTTTTGTTCTCACGTATTCAGTCATCCCTTCCTATCTTTCTGTCTTGTGCCATTTTATATAATGAAAGAGAATAAAAGTTGACATATGCAGGCTATGCACTGGCATTTTCAGCTGTCTCACTGTGCCTGTGTCACGCCTCCATGTTTGAATGTGTCACACTGTGAGATGTTTTAGTCCCAATAACCTCCTGATGTATTTCATCTGAACATCATTCAGTAGAGGCTCTTGCCAGGTGAGTCTCTGCTTACCTGTGCAGCGTGACACATCGTAGACAAATTATCTACGGTGTTATGATACATAATACCTTATTGGCTCCTATAAAAATAATTTCTTTTTCTATAGAAAAAAAAAGGACTATGCCAGAGAAGTAAAAGCTGTGAGCTGATAAGATGCATAAGGATGTGTGTCAGTTAGTCTGTCCAATACTTTGGTATAGCTATTTCAACAAGACAGATTAATATGAAATTTAGTCCAGAGAGAGGATGATTTCTAATCACTTAGATGATGCCTTTTCTCTAAAATGAATATTGTTTATTGACCAACACTTTAGTCCATAGCCAGGGACCTTGAAGACTATTGGGTGTATGTGGTATATTGATTATATGGTGTTTTCTTGAACTTTACTGATATTCTTGGTCCCTAGAGGATGAATGCTATTAATTTAACTTACATGAGCATCATCAACAGCATAAACCACTCTAAGTGGGCAAATCAACATTAAATTTTGCCATCACAAACCAACTCCCTTGAGGATGAACCGCTTTGATTTTGATGACCATATGAGCATTCCTTTAGCTTCACCCTCAGGTCAGGGTTTACATTTTTAGCTTCACTGCTGGTAAGAATTACAAGAGTGTTAGGGTCACTGACGGCAGGGGTCAAAGATGTTGAGCATGACGTTGGGGGAAAAAATGTTGTAACAAGAGTACAAAAATAAGCCATATTTACAAGAAAAGATCGTAGCACTTTGAGAATAAAGTTACGATGAGTCATAAGGGCATATTATCTAATCTGCCCAATCTAGTCATAATATGATATTTTGTTCTCAAAATGAAACAATCTTTTTCTATGACTTTATTATCATAATATCAAGACTTTTTCTTGTAAAATTGCCACTCGTGATATTATGATTCTCTTTTACCCTGTCGTAAAGATCATCCCATATGCCGTTAGGCAGATCCAACGTGAGTGTAATTATCATTGCAGCCTCTAGGGGAAACTAGCAGGGCTTTTAGTCTTATTTTATACAATGTGCAGCATGCCGTTAGCAGTTTTCCATCACAAGGGCTTTGCAAATGTTCTACACACAGCAACTGCAGAATTGAAAAACAGCACAACACACAAAAAACTAATTGAAATCCACTCATGAGGTTCTTCATCTGAAGTATTCTAATAGAGCCATTTTTCCATTGAATGTAAGTGCAATGTAATTTGCAAATTCGTGTTTGTGAATTTTTTTTTTCCTTTAATGTAATCTACAGTAGTGATGTCTAATTTGCAAATGTCAAATTCTTTGTTTTGGCATGTATATGACCCAGAGTAGGCCATGTGTTGTCAGTGTGTCCGGCAGTGTAGAGAATCCACAGCTAAACCTATGTACAGCTTAGGACATTTTATAATGTGAATAAAAGTTTTATATACAAATAAGATGATATTTCTTTTTTTTTTTATTGTCTTGAACTCAGAGGAACATTTTGAAATATCTATTTTTTGCTTTCTTTTCAATAGTGTGATGAGAGGATCAATACCGATCTTATGACTAAGAGTTAAGTACAGAGCTGTAGTACAAGTTTAGCATAAAGAGTGGAAGCAGGGGGAAACAGCTAATCTACCTCTGTCCAAAGTAAAAAAAAACGTGCCAACCAGCACCCCCTAAAGCTCACTTATTAACTTACTATATCTCAATGTTAGTTTTTTTTACAAACGAACAAAACCTTTTAAACTAAATATTGTTGTTTTTATATATGTTTGTGAATGAATTAAACAAATGAGATGTTAATATTAATTAACGAGGTTTAGATGTGTTGGTATGTGTATAATATTTGAACTATGGACACATCTAGGCTAGCTGATTCCCCTTCCTCCAGTCTTTATGCTAAGCTAGATTAACTATGTCCTGACTCCAGCTCTGATTGATATCAATCCTCTCATTTCACACAAGCGAATAAGAATGTTGAACTATTCCTTTAAGTAGTCATACAAGAGCAGTAGACAAAAACAAATATGTAGCATGGGAATTCAATTTATCTTACATTTTTGACAGTCTTGTTACTAAATTCAGTTTTCTTTGCCTTTTCAATGATGTTCATTCAAATAATTTCCACTATAGTTGTGCGTCCTCTGATAGGAATATTTGCATCAGGTTTTCCATGAGGAAGATCTTTTTAACCAAGAAGATACTATGTCTGTATGGAGGTTCCACTCTTTGTTTATTCAAAATATACTGTCAGTTCTTAGCTTCTATCCCAATTTGCCCCTTTTGTCTGTTAAATTATAAAATCAATGCACAACTGGGCATTTGATGTCTCCAAATATTTTGTAACACTTTGCAAACCCTTTTCCTCTTCTTGTCCCCCAAATTAAGCAATAACACACCAAAAACAATGTTTAAAATGTGTAAAAATATTCAAATTAATCATTGAGCAACAATCTTTACGTTTCTCTGTATACAATTGGTTTTGTTGCAGTTTTACATATTTGACAGAATTAACTTACGTGCTTTTTACGACATAGACCAATTGCAGTTGTGTTTAGTGCCAGATTGTACAAATATTTAGATAAATGAAGAAAGTGTGGAAAGAAAATAAGTTCCCTTCCCCCTCAGTATCTCTAACTGTCAAGTCTCAAACACAAAACATCTGGTTTACATCTCTGCAGCCGGGAAACTCCAGGGCTCTTTACTTCCCGTAACAATAAGGGAAAAGAGGGTTATGTAAGAACATTATTTTCTACTATGTTTTCTGATATTTGTTATTATTAATGAGATGTTTTTGGACACATGTTTTTGGCCAATGCAAGTCAAAAAACAACTTTCTTTCCATGAGCAATTACAGGGGGAGGTTTTATATTGCTGCTGGCAGCTCTGTAAGATTCATCTCTGCCTGCAGTGCAGAGTCGACTTAGTGAGAAGACTCTTAACTGCACAAATATACAGTCAAACACAGGAGCTCCTAAAAGATGAGGTTTAATATCTGCTGAAGACAACGTCAGTATATGTGGTGAGTCAGATTTTCCTTTTTTTTAAAAAGCATTTTGACTTAGTTAAATGGTGTAGAAAACTACATTAACTTAAAATTTAACAAAACTGCAACTGTTTGTTGTTCATAATTTTATTTATTTATTATTTTTTGTCTTATTTGTCTACATGCCTTTTTATGCATCAATCAAAAGCATCAATTTAGTGTAAATGTAAAATGTAGTATTGTATCAAAAACAATGAAAACAGAGTTTAATAAATGACTTTAATATGTTTGAAAACAAAATGTTTTAAACGTAAAGTAGAAAATGCTGGACGCTGCACTGCAGTGAAGGGCTGAACTGCCCTGAATAAAAATAATAATCATATCTGTTTTGTATATTTTGTATAGCACTTTTCAATACAGGTAATAATGTGGTTTACAGTCAATGATAAACATAACCAAGTTAGGAACTATTAGAAGTCACAACACAAATTAATTTAAAGGAGGAGGAGTTAGATGTGCTTGTCGTATGTCCAGTGCACAACCTTCACAACTGTCATTAATATTTACACAGGGGTTTACAATAATCAATATAAAAACACACAAAGGTCGAAATTAAATTAAATTAAAAGATACAAATTGCCACCAGACAGTGTTTTACGACAATAAACATAAACAAGTCTACATGCAAAAAAGCAAACAATAAAATTGGCATCCTACAGTAAAAGATTTTCTGAAAAAAATGTGTCTTAAGATGTGAGAAAGGTTTGTTGGGTATCAGTGTTGATCCTTTTTGTAATGCTGATACACTATTGTTTATTCAAAGTACAATACATTATCAGTGTGATGAAAAAAGAAGAAGAAATTACATAAATAACAAATTTTAATACTGTATTTTTCTCATTGACAGTTGTTGATTCTGGCCAGGTCATCAAATATTTTTCAGAGGAGGTGAAACCAGTTTGAACTTCTCTGATGGCTCCTTCCAGTCGGTTGCTCCTGCTGCTACAGGTCCTCAGCTGGATGTCAGCTGGGCTGGCCTGTTTCTGTGACCGGTACCCCTGGGGCTCCTGGTCTGCCTGCTCCCGGACCTGCAACCACGGTACACAGCACAGACAGAGGTGAGACACAGCACAGACAAAGCAAACACACTAATACCAGTGAGACATACTAGACATAGGAAAGGCAGTGTAGATACACAGCACACCAACACACAACTCTGATACATGGAGGGCTCTTTTGAGACAGGTGGACAGCACAGACAAAGGTGGACAAAGTACATAAACAAGCACAGACCTGTGTCTGTGCTGTATTACTTGTTTGTGCCCTGTGTCTCTTCTGTAAGAGACACAGCACAAACAGAGGTGAGACACCAGCACAAATACAGCTGAGACAGGTGACACAAAACACAAACACAGGCGGGCTTTTGAGGCCTGGATCAGGAGTCTAGCATTTTGTGTTATGAATTTTGCAAATTGAAAGAGTCTTGTCAAAGCAATTGTGAAATACTGTGATCAAGATTTTTTTTCTTTTCTTCTCTTCTGTTTTCAATTATTGTTGTGAAATACAAATACCTAATGCAGATGATGATGACAGATGTTGTTTGTGTGTGTGTGTGTGTGTGTGTGTGTGTTTGTGTGTGATTTTCATGTTTTTCTGACAGAGCATTTCAGCTTGAGGAATATTACTGGAAGAGCAGCTGTGATAGGCTGTGTGTAAAACACGACATCAGATCTTGCAACGAGCAGACTTGTCCTATCAACTGCCTGCTGACAGAGTTCGGGCCCTGGTCTGACTGCTCACCCTGCGCCAAGAAACAGGCAAGAAACACACAAATCACACTGCAAAACCCTGAGACATTCATGTTAAAGACTAATTCTCAGCAGGTTTTGAGCACGTAGTGTATTCAGACTTGAAAAGTGACAGCATGAAGTAGTAAGTATACTCAAAGTGGCCATTTGTTGTTGATGGACAAATAAGAAGAGCTGCTCACAGCTAGAAACCACTAAAATAATTTGATGGGGGTGAGACACTCAGGGAAGAAAAAACCCCCCAAAAAACCCCCCCCAAAACTAAGTATTTTATCTTCAAATAACATTTTGCATTGCATGTAACAAAACAATCTAAGCTAAAAGGTATACTTTCTAGCTTTAGATCATATTTGATTGTCTTCATTCAGTGATGATTATTTATCTTTAACTGGGGGGATTTAAATGGAAGCGTCATTCTAAAGTCTCACTGTGATTAGTGTCCATGGGTACATGTTTTGAGGCCAATCTTCCAATTTCCTGCAGTGCCAACCCACATGCCAACCTTGCTTAGTATAAATTTGGTTTATAAACAACTAATTAGCAAAGCAAGCACATTTGGCACAAATGTGGGGCCACCTGGCTGGACAAGTTAACGTGTTATTGTCACGTTGTTGCACTTTTGTGTATATTGCAGTAAATTTAAATTAAAAGTGCGCAATTCACTACTTTAGAATTCTTTATTCAATTTTGCGCATAACAATGCGATTAATCGCAGAAAATCATGTGATTAATCGCAATAAAAATTTTTAATCATTGTGAAGCACTCCTTTTTTAAATTCATGTAGTCTCCAAGTTGCAAAATGTTGATATTAAACAAATCAGTAAATCCAGGCAACAGTTCACCAAAATGTAATTGGTTAAAAAAAATCTACTATATAAATGCATTTTAAATGTTTGACTATACACCAAAAAAGAAGGAAATAAAAAAAAAATCACATTCACTCAATTATATTTTTTAATTTTTATTTATTGTTTATGAAATACTTTGGCAGCACGTCTTGCTTAATGACAGAATGGCAGTTCTATATGTGGAAGGGTAGGAAAGACCTTTGTTTTCTTTTTTTGTGCATTTTGTCAGAAAATGCATATCTTTCTCTACTTTCGATTCTTCTGTTCTGTCTATTCTGTATAAATTAATCAAAATGTTTATCAGACCCTCTCACATGTTGTTTCCACAGTTTCGGACACGGTCGGTCCAGCGGCCGTCTCAGTTTGGTGGATCAGCCTGCAGCGAGGAGCTGACAGAGGAGAGGCCCTGTTACCCCTCCACAGAGTGCAAGTTAGCACCCATCGACTGCAGAGATGACTTTAAGTGTGATAATGGTAAATACTGTTTTCCCATAACTAATGTGTTATGGAATAAAGAAAAAATTGTCACATGTGGAAGCCTCCAAATATGATGTTGTTTTTTAGAATTATAATTTTATCAGCCAATTTAGAGAATCAAATCAAATATTTTCAGTCACAGGCCCACCTCTTCTAACTCTAATCTTCTGGTACAACACCCACACACACACATAGATAAGGACACATACCAACATTTTATTGACTACAAAACATCTTTTCTGCTGCAGGACGCTGCATCAACTCGACGCTAACATGCAACAGACAGAACGACTGTGGAGATAACTCTGATGAGAGGGACTGTGTCGACTTTAAAATAGTGTGTCCAGCAGAGAAGAGAGTGGCCCCTGGGGTTGACCTGGTGGGGAATGGGTAAGCCAAAGGTCAAATGGTCACCGCTGATATCACAACTTTAATTTGAATGTGAACCAGCCCACATTCCTCCCTGCTCTGTTCATAAATAATATTTCTTTCTACCAAGTGAAAAAGACAATATTGTAGTAGTAGCTCTTCCACTGCTGCACTGAACATTATATTTTTTAAGAGTGTTGTTATACCACTGCTGCAAAGGCAAAAATGCAATTGTATTTAGAAGAGCATAATCGATGCTGGATTTTAAGGTTGATATTGATGTTACCACTTGAAAACAAAACATCCAACAACTATTATCTTAAATTTGGAAATTTGTTTGCATAAACGTTAGAAAATTGACATTTTGATATGTCTAAGCTAAGATATTACAGCTAAACAAGACACTATTTTATTAAATTTAGTAAATGTATGATACTAAATCAGTGACACTGAAGTTCATATTTAGATAATTAAAAATTAAAATACATGAAACAAACAATATTAAACTTGAGCATACATATACATATTGAATGCTGCCAAGAAAATATTTATTGATCCAGTTTACTGCTCTGCAATTTGTCTTATCAGTAATAATCTGATATTGGCCAATAATAATGGTCTGCTGATATCTTGTTGGGCTTTAGTGCTTATTGTAAAGAAAAGTCAATAAGATTTTAGTCTTTACTGATTTGTGTTTGAAGGTTTGATGCTCTAGCAGAGGAGCCGAGGGGAGCGGTGCTGGACAACATGTTTATGGGAGGGAATTGCAACATCAGGAGGCCTCAGTCCACTGTGCTCTACCACCGAGTCCCCCACAACTTTGAAAGCTTTGACATTAAGGTATTTTCATTATTTGTAATATTTAATTATACAGCCCTTCTGTATATCTAACCTGGTGTCAGACCTCTGAATCACCACACCTGTCTCAGATTTGTTCAGTGATTCAAAATAGGTCTTATAGTGTTGTCACTGACCAGCTGTTTCTGCGGCTGGAGATCCGACCAATCAGAGCTTTATAGGCAGGATAATGGGGATGTCATCTTCGTGGCTCCGCAAGGCCAACGATCAGAGTTTTAAATCCTACCCAATTTGTGCTGAATGCAGAGCAGCCTAGACATGTTAGTACTATTCCTAGAAACAAAGAGCCTTCTAATATAGCATTGACAAAAGCCCTGGTTACAGCCGCTGCAACAGCAGACAGCTATGACACTGGTCAAAATTCAAAGGAGTATATGCTGTATTTTACAACAACTTGTCTTTATGGAAGCACACTAGAAAGCTCCTCATATAGAGGTGGCAATCAGCCATGATGAGTGGTGATGGCGCAATGCATATGCTTTTGGTGTGAGAGACCAGGGTTCAATCCACCACTATGACCCATCCAGCAATGTGTCCCTGAGCAAGACACTTAACCCCTAGTTGCTCCAGAGGCGTGTGACCTCTGACATGTTTAGCAATTGAAAGTCGCTTTGGATAAAAGCGTCAGCTAAATATTAATGACAGTTGTGAAGGTTGTGCACTGGACGTGCGACAAGCACATCTAACTCCTCCTCCTTTAAATGAATTTGTGTTGTGATTTCTAATAGTTCCTAATAGAGTTTTAATCATTATAGAAATTCTAAATGTGCTACGCTGCTTTGATTATGTGAAATCGTCGTGAAACATGTTAAAAATCTCCAAAAAAAAATCAGCTTACATGGCCATAGTGTTGGGCTGATGAATGAAGTGAAACGAAATGGCAATAAACTTTTGTTTAAAAAAAAAATAAAATAGGTGCAATAAAGTTAAACTGCCACTAGGAGCAGCCATGGTCAGAAATACATAATCATTTGAAAAATATTCACCAGTAGTTTGGATTTACCGCCACAGATGAATACTTCAAGAAAATGTACTGTTGTGTTTTTATTGTTATAGCTCTTGATTTACAAATGTGATTGTGTTTTGTAAAGGTTGGAGTACTGGAGGACTTCAACACCGAACCCCAGCCGCTGCACAGCGAGGTCATCGATTTGAAGATGTCCAGTTCGTCTGGAAACAGCCAACAAGATAGAGACAGCTTTTTCTTTCCCATCTTTTTTTTCAGTAGGAAATTTAGATCGGGAGTCACCTCTAACAAGGAAGCTTTTGAAGCTTCAAAAAAAACGGTGAATGACTGAAACAATGCACAGAAGCTAAGCAATATAGTGGTGTGGACAGGGTCAGCAACAAAACTTATTTATCCACCTAAAGGAAGGCCTACCTATATCAGTTCAAGTGCATGCCATGTGTTCAATATTTTCAACTCATTACCTTACCATTAGAGAGCCATTTCCTATGGAACTACATTTTACTTCTGTATGCCTACACAAAAGCCCAACTTGGTTGTGCACTGCAGGTAATACACTGACTATGGATAAGCACCTCATACAGCTTCACTTAAAAAAATCCCAAACTATCCCTTTAACATAAAGAAGAGAGGACCCGTCAAAAGTCCACATTTTACAAAAATTTCTTCAATTTCAAGGTCTGATACATGGTCCCCACAACATATTGGTACAAGAGCATGCACACACACACACACACACACACACACACGCGTATATCTGTTAACATGCACACACATTACTAGTTGCAGCTAAACTCTTCTTCTTCATCTTTTCTCCCATAGGACTCCAAGTTTTTCCGGGTGAACCAGGTTCTGCCCGTGTCCACATTCAAAAGTGAGAGACCCGGGGGACCTCGTCCTGTCACAGCCATTCCTCCAGTTCCTTCACGCTCTTCCTCTTGAGTACAACTATGCCCTCTACAGAGACATCTTCCAGCGCTTTGGGACGCACTACTACAGCTCAGGGACACTTGGAGGCCACTATGACCTGTTGTACCAGTTCAGCCGAGAGGAGCTCACCAGTTCAGGTACAACAGCACAGCCGGGTGGTCAAAATTTAGAATGACACCTTGGATGTAGTGGTAACCCAAAAGTCTAGACCAGAGGTTTTTAAAGAGGAAGGCAGAGTTTAGAAGACTCAGTTAATAGAAATGAAAAAATATTGCTGTCTGGCAGAAACTTTAACATGACTCAGCTCCTGCTGTAACACAAAGCAAAGTCATTCAGCAAGGCATTGCTTTGTCCAATCAATTACTGTGTGGGGGCTTAGTGTAGTGTTAAATCACAATGTTCCATAGCACCATCTCTGCACATTACTCTGTGATTTTGTCACATAGCATTCCCTACACAGACATTTATAAGTTAGTTTTTAGTGAAATGTGAAGGTGGTGTTCACAGATAGGGCTAAATGTTTCCCTGGTGTTGAAATGTGTATATAAAATTCTATATATAAGTTCCAAAAACAAAACATCCTGTTGGTTGATCAGTGAACATCTCTCCTCAACATTACCACATCCTCAACATCTAATTATAACATTAAAATCTTAAAATCACAACCAAATCTCTCTTGTTAAACTTAAAGTAAGTGTTGTGGTTAAGGTTTGGTTAATAATCAAATAAAATTCCCTGAATCTTATCTTGTTCTAAGACAATTCCTTACAGTTACGGATTAAAATTGTTGGAGCACAAGAAACACCAAATGAGTGAACTGTCATTGAATAAATAGAACTTGAAATTTGGTAAAATGTAGTTTACCTGTAATGTTTAAATGTGACTTTATAAATCATTGGGAATAAAGAGAACCCATATAGATCGATACAATGTTGTTTGTTCCTTTATTTCTGCATCATGTAGCTACACTACTCCTCTCCAACAGGTGAAACAGAAGAGCACATCAAAGGCTGCCTGGGCCGAGAGACCACCTGGACCATCATCCTCTACACAGAACACAGCAGTGTAACCCGATGCTCTGACAACAGGATGACTCAGAAATTTCAAGGTTTCTTTCAAAATCTGCCAGGAAGCACATCTTTTTAATTCCCATTGCCTGTAAAAGGACACTGATCTTATTGTCACCATGTTCTTTTCTTTATTTATTCCTTAAACATCTCTTTGGTCCAGGCTCGTACATTCAGTCAGCAGAGAAGTCTTTCTCTATGGTGAAAGGGGGTCGAACCAGAGAGGCAGCAGCTCTAGCCTGGGAAAGGCAGGGCCCTGCTCCGGACCGAAAATCCTACAAGGACTGGGCCAAGTCCGTTCTCGAAAACCCTGCCGTGGTCGAAAGCAAGGTAAAATCAAACACCACTGAAATGTCTTCAATCCAGCATCAAAAATAAATAAATAAATAAAGAAATCAAAGTTATAAGACTACAAAAAGCTGATGTTGCTTTCATGTGTGTTTGTTTGTCCAGGCCCTTCCCATCATAGATCTGGTTCGGGGGATTCCATGTGCTGCCACAAAGAGGAGACACCTGAGGAAGGCCCTGCTGCAGTACCTTGAAGAGTTTGATACCTGCAAGTGTGCTCCTTGCCCCAACAACGCCAAGCCAGTTCTCTCTGGAACAGAGTGCAAGTGTGTTTGCCAAACAGGCACGTTTGGTGCAAACTGTGAGAAACGAGCTCCAGACTACAAATCAGGTATATCAGTCGGTAATAACTGAACATTCAATTAAAAACATTTCACGTCTCTTTCTTTTTGAGACATTTCACTCAGTCAATATTATGATGTGCTTGAGGAAAAGTCAAAGCATCACCAAAGTCATTATAGCTTCCTCGGGGGATCAGGAATGTCTTTAGCATCATCTTTAGCCTCTGCTGTTGATGGCAGGGCATATACCACTATTTTAAGCTTTGTAATTGGATCTTTCTCACCGAAAATTCACCTTTGGAGTTGATTGACTCTCTTTCAGTATTTATGTCCACAGGAGACCAGCTACTGTGTGTGGTTGCTCTTCTTTTGTGCTGATGATTCAACCAGGAGAGTTTCATGTCCAGTCATTTCCAACTGCTTGTCATATGTTAACTTCAGTTTCAAAGATCCTTTGAAAAAGAGGAAAAATCCTATCTTTGTTACAGAAACAATCCCTAAACTCATGGTGGTGTCCTATCCTATCTCAGACCTCATCTTCATTTAAGAAATTATGACTACATCTTTAAACTTGATTCCTTAATCAGCATCCTGTCATGCCTGTATCAGTGTTTAGAATGTAAACGAGATTGCTTGGAGGATGTCATGTCACTGTTGGTGAGGACAACAAAAACATCTCCCAGCCTCAGATTTTTTTTAAATAAAGTCACTAAGGGTCTGAAAACCACTGTGAGAAACAAGTAGGGAAGATGTAATCTTTCAAAACTTAAAAAAACACATTACACTCATGTCAATACTACGCCCTTGCAACAAACATTTAGAGCACAGAGACATTTACTTTTTGGTGTGTACTACACAGATGAAGTGGATGGTAACTGGAGCTGCTGGGGGCCGTGGAGTAGCTGTGGAGCCACTATGAAGAGACATCGGAGGAGGCGGTGTGATAACCCCGCCCCCCTCAGAGGAGGCCAACCCTGCCAGGGTCCCGACACAGATGAGGATCCGTGTCACATCTCCATCTTTGAAAAGTAGGACAAACTGTTGTTTAAAACATCCTGAGGCAGTCATGAAAAATCTAATTTTATAAAGTAGATTTTAGTAGAAGAAAGAAATTTTGAATTTTTTTTATATAATAATAATTTTTACCCAAATATGTGGAACCATTGATGCACTACTGCTGTTAAAGATATTTAAACTCAAAACTTCCAAATGGATTTTGTGTATGTATATATATATATATATATATATATATATATATATATATATATATATATATATATATAATCTGGTCTGGATAATTTTTTTGTGCCCAGACAAGAAACCTGTGACAATGATGACGACTTCACTGTGGGCTGGAGGGACGAGCTGCCACCTGGAGTGCAGGGCTGTCTGAGGCCACAGAGACCTGCCAACAGTTTCCTCAGGGTGAAGACTAATCCTCCAGCCTGTAATCAGTGATAGTAATGAATGACAGAGACAGAGTCTGTACTTCATTGCTTATTGCTCTGATAAATGTGTCAGCTAACTGACCAAAATATTGAGAAAAACCCGCTTCTCTAGTCTCACCTCTCCAAATAAAAATTGATTATTGATTATGAATAACACTTTATTTCAACACCCCTATTTATCATCTATAACCAGCATATAATAATAACACATTAAACATATTATAGTGTATTTATAAGAAGCTATGGGTACATTTTTAAGTGTTTATTAATGTACAGTATTTTCAACAATTATAACTTTTTCTATGACGATATATTTCACATAATTAGAACTGTTATTTTTATTATCTGTTTATATAATAGCATCTAATTATATAAGTTTCGCTTGAGGAGTTAAAAAGACCAATCTCTGAACCTCTGAATGGAGTCTGGAGTGTGCCACTTTTTTCAAACATTTTTCAGTGTTTAATTATAATGAATTAATACATTGAATAAATATATTGCAAATGCTTTATTAAATTTGCATAAAGCTCAGCCAAAGTAAGAGATCATTAAATTAAATAATTAATTTTCCTTAGTCTGAGAGTAGAAAAATGAATGCCAGAAAGGCTTTTTATTGTTATTTATTTACTTACGTGTCTGCCTGTCAAATTCCACCTGACAATTCATTCATCTGATGATGTCTTGTGCTAGTCTGTGTTACGAACGTGGTGCATGAAGACTGAAAGATGCAGGCGTTTTGGATGTTGTTCAGTTGCATTGTGAGAATTGTAGGCTCCAAAGTTTTTGGGGCTTGGCCATACTAGAGACAAAAGTCAGGATAGCTTGGCCACTGCATCTTTAATTTTGATCATTCTTCTTTTATTCTGTATTTTGTGAGACCCCCAACTTAATGGGCATCCCTTTTAATTTAAAGGCTAATCTCTTTAAAGAAGTGTAAACTGAAGTCCAACCCACAAAGCACTTTGAGGGCTCGCAAAATTAAAACAAAATTATCTCTTAATTATGCCTTAATCAGTAAAAAATAATGGGTAAAAACAACAGAATTATTATACATCAGAATTATGACTCTGGATATCATAGTCAAGCGGTAACCTCTGGGGCTGCAAAATTGATACATCACAGAAGTGCCATAAACTGCAGTTCATCGAATATACAGTCACAGAGACTACATCCATGTTTAATACAGTATGTGGTCAAAATTATGGCAATAGGAAGCTATTCTTATATTAAACCATCTAATTGAAAGCGACATAATGTGCAGATGAAATGAGGAATTAAGGGAAAGAAAGAGAAACACAAGAAAAAGGAAAGAAAAAATGGCATGAAAAAATTGTAGAAGACAAGAGTTGTAGACATTTAGAAAGCCCAGGAAGATTTATATATGTGTTCTTCCTAACTTTTCTTGCATTTATTAACTTCCTTTTCTGACAGAAAGCAAAGCAATATTATAAATTTGGTGAGGATGAGGAGTTCGTGTGCTTCACTGGATTTGACTTGGAGGGCTTTCAGTTCATCAACTGCCTTCCTGATGGGACCTGGAGTGAACCAAGTGGAAAATGCATCAGTAAGTTTGTTTTCCCACCAGATGAGTGAACAGTAATATAAGAACTCTGGTGTCTGCAATTTCTTTATTACGTCAGTCTCAATTCAAGTAACTGTTAAGATCAAGTTAAATATTTCTACACCTCATATCTACGTTAGCTTAAAATCTGTCTGCTTTAACATTAGGGAAACTGTGCCTTCCTCCTGAAATCCCTGATGGCATGGTGCTGTTCCCCAACAAAAATGAGTACAAAGTGGGGGAATCAGTGGGTTTGAACTGTAACGAGGCGGGCCTGGCGCCGCTGCCACGGGGCTCCTACAGATGCAGCAACAGTCTCGCCTGGGAGCCTCCGTTACCTGCTGACCTACGCTGCACTGATGGTAGGCCTACAGTAGAGTACTTAAACTCCCACACTGATGGGAAATTCAGAAAAACTTTAACATCCAATACTTTTAATGCAGGTATGTCACAGAGGAGAAAGGGACACTCCTATGGTTCTTGCAATTTAGATATGTTTTAAATTATTAATAATCAGTCTTTTTCAGCTCATATGGGCTTACAACAGAACATAAACTTAATTTCGGGAACAAGCTATTTTTTGTGTCACATATTTGTGAACCTTAATTCATGTGTGAGACATTAATATAATTTATTTGAAGCTTTTTAAAATAAAAGAGAGAGAAGCACACAGGCAGCTTTCCTCCTCATGCTTGAAGTCTTTTTTCCCCTAAAAGCTAAACATACAGTTAGAAAAAAAATTCCAATAAAGCATAAACAGCAGTGTAGCATGTTCTTTGCCTCATTTTGTAGTTGTAATGGCCCAGGACTGTATCCCACGCAGTGGATGAGATGGACCCAAATGAAGCATGTGTTCTGTATGAGAAGTATGCAAAGGTGTCTCTTGTTTCTGTGTATTTCCTGTATGTAGAGGAACCGTTTGTTCCCGATGGTCAATGCCCTCCAGGACAGAAACTACAGGGCTCTCAATGTGTCTGTATTCAACGGGAGAGATGCCTGTAAGTTTTATTTTTCATTGTATTTTTTTTATTTTATTGTATTTGTTAGGTTATTTCTATGTGATGCTATGTGATGTATTTCATCCATAAATTGTGCTTTATAAAAAAGTTTTTTTTAAAACACAAAAAAATGATGCACACTTTAAGCTCATCATAAAACAACTCAACCTCAAAAGTTACTGACTATGAGAGATTTTCAATGTGAACGCTAAGTGGAATACATTATTCTTTTTAGCCATCAGCTGACCAACCTGTGTGTGTGTGTGTGTGTGTGTGTGTGTGTGTGTGTGTGCGTGTGTGTGTGTGTGTGCGCGCGCGCAGTTCACAACCGGAGACTCTCTGCATCCTGAACACAGATGTCGGCGTCACCGTGCCGATGTCCCTGTGCTCATTCCATGCCGGGCGCTGCCACAATGATCCGCTCTTCTTTGTCAGCGAGGGCGTGTGTGATGCAGCCGATTCTGCCAAACTGGAGTGGGCCAAGTTCAGAGCCAAAATGTCCTCTAAGAGCTCTGTTCAGCAGCCCTGCGATCTTGACACCTGTTACGAGTGGGAGACCTGTACTGGTGAGTTTGTCTGATATGAAACCATTTATACATTCAGTGGGGTTTAGCTGTCACCTTTTGACAAGCGCTGACACAGGAATAAAGGGATTTAGACCCAAGTGCAGAACACAGAGCAAATGCAGTTTACACAAACTTACAGGATTGTGAGGCAGGCAAAGACCAAGTAAGCAGTCCAAAACACTAGCAATCATATCCAGAAGGTATAGGCAAAAATCCATAATCCAAAAGACATCCACAAACACAGGAAGAGAACACTGAAGACAGACAAAACACTTTGATAATATACAAAGACAATCTGAGAAATGACAAGGGAACCAGAAGCAAAGCTATATAAGACACACAAGGAAGGATACTTTCAAAATAACACAGGAAATAACAAAACTCAAACCCTAAACCATGACATTAGCATTTAGAATACGCACATTTGTTTTAATGAGTTAGTGCAGAATATAAATTATATTATTTTTATGAAATTATTGTTATGGATAAAAATAACATTTTATTGTACAATCCCTCTTGAAATTTTTTTTTTAATTAAAATGTACAATGTGTAAGATTTGGCCAGAATTTTAGGGCTTGTCAATCAGTGCTGCTGCTGGAGCTGCTCTCCCTCGCGCTCCCTAACCGCTTTTACGTGCTAGAAAACTTTTTTGGCTAATGCGCTTGCCAAGTAATTTTCATTTAAGTGGATTGGCGCCATCTTGGAGTCCGGTATCCAGTTCTTATAATACAGTATTTCCATGGCCCAGCCACGGCTTTTGCTAAGCTAACCATCTACTGGCCGTTGTCACATATTTAATGGACAGACACAAAAGTTTGTACTGTCTGAGTCACCACAATCTTGTGTTACTACTACTACAATTATCCTTTTTTTAAAGATTATAAAAAAAATGTAAATGTTCTTGAGTCCCATAATGATTTGCAGGAAAGGCTTGCTGCACCTGTCATCATCACTTGTATTTAGAACTTGAAGTCACAAAAAACTTGTCAGTATGAATTCTGGATTCAACAAATTTAGGTACGAAAACTTAAATTGGCAACTTAATGAACACAAGTGAGGTTTGAATGATTTATGACTTCACATACACTCACCTAAAGGATTATTAGGAACACCATACTAACACTGTGTTTGACCTCCTTTCGCCTTCAGAACTGCCTTAATTCTACGTGGCATTGATTCAACAAGGTGCTGAAAGCATTCTTTAGAAATGTTGGCCCATATTGATGGATAGCATCTTGCAGTTGATGGAGATTTGTGGGATGCACATCCAGGGCACGAAGCTCCCGTTCCACCACATCCCAAAGATGCTCTATTGGGTTGAGATCTGGTGACTGTGGGGGCCATTTTAGTACAGTGAACTCATTGTCATGTTCAAGAAACCAATTTGAAATGATTGGAGCTTTGTGACATGGTGCATTATCCTGCTGGAAGTAGCCATCAGAGGATGGGTACATGGTGGCCATAAAGGGATGGACATGGTCAGAAACAATGCTCAGGTAGGCCGTGGCATTTAAACGAGGCCCAATTGGCACTAAGGGGCCTAAAGTGTGCCAAGAAAACATCCCCCACACCATTACACCACCACCAGCAGCCTGCACAGTGGTAACAAGGCATGATGGATCCATGTTCTCATTCTGTTTACGCCAACCATCTACCATCTGAATGTCTCAACAGAAATCGAGACTCATCAGACCAGGCAACATTTTTCCAGTCTTCAACTGTCCAATTTTGGTGAGCTCTTGCAAATTGTAGCCTCTTTTTCCTATTTGTAGTGGAGATGAGTGGTACCCGGTGGGGTCTTCTGCTTTGCTGCATACCTCGGTTGTAACGAGTGGTTATTTCAGTCAACCTATTTCAGGGACCTCTAGCATCAACAAGGCATTTTCGCCCACAGGACTGCCGCATACTGGATGTTTTTCCCTTTTCACATCATTCTTTGTAAACCCTAGAAATGGTTGTGCGTGAAAATCCCAGTAACTGAGCAGATTGTGAAATACTCAGACCGGCCCGTCTGGCACCAATAACCATGCCACGCTCAAAATTGCTTAAATCACCTTTCTTTCCCATTCTGACATTCAGTTTGGAGTTCAGGAGATTGTCTTGACCAGGACCACACCCCTAAATGCATTGAAGCAACTGCCATGTGATTGGTTGATTAGATAATTGCATTAATGAGAAATTGAACAGGTGTTCCTAATAATCCTTTAGGTGAGTGTATGTATCAGATTATTTTCCATAACGTTAACTCACATCTGTCCTCAGCGTCTAAGAAGTGTGAGTGCAGAGCTGCCCGGGACTGCTCCAGAGTTGAAGAGCACATGTTCTGCATAAAGCTGACCAGGACCCAGAGGATTCGCAGCATCGACCTTTGTTCTATGGCCGCCCTCAAATGTGCTAGCTATCAGTTTGAGATTCTCAATGAAGGCGTGTGTCTGACCAGATGATCCTTCTAAAGGGTATCTGTGTGGTTACACTTAACCTCTGACTTTATCTAACAGTAGAATGTTTAAATAATTGTAGTTAAAAATAACTAAATAGTTTAAAATACACTTCTTCTTTTTCCCTTTCAATGTGCACTAGATCCACTCATTTAGAGACATTATAGACCATATATTTTTTTTAAAGATTACACTATGTGATGTCAAAAAATCAATATATTTGTAAAAAAAAAAAAAGTAGACTGGCAGGTACGTATTCAAGGTTCCATACAGCTGGTGCAATGTTGTGGAAGATTTTCTTTACACTTAGTCGAAAAAACTCAAAGATGAGAGGCAGATAGAAACTTTATTGCAATGTCACAGAATACACAATAAACCCGAGCTGGACCTGAGACACAACTGAAAAATTAAACGCAACATAAAGATCAGGGTGCAAACTACAGGGGTTCCCCTAAAACCATGATTTTTTTGCTATCTAAAATATTGAAAATATTCTATTTTAGCATTTCTATTTTTCTGTATCTTTATCATGGATGATGCGTAAAATTAGGCTATTACTGCTATTCTGCTATTCTTGTCACAGCCATTGAAGCGTATCATAAACTTCGCTCTCTTTAACTCAAAGATCATAAAAAAAAAAAACTTTCTTAGTCCCACTCAGTTTGTGCAATGAATCGCCATGAACCATTTAAGATAAGCACCAGGTAAAACACTGGAAAAGCTTTGTAACGCAAGCAGGACATACCTTCCAATCTCATCTGTGTGAGAGGAGGTTTTCTGCTGTTGATGATACTAACAGCAAGGCCTGCTTGAAAACCTCCTCTCATCTCCTTTACCGCCAGATGGTCTTTGTCTCCTGTTGTAACTCAAGTCATGTCAACATTGTTTCCTAATGAGGCCTGAACATATTTTTTGCATCCTGTCTTGTGAATAAATGATATTTACGTCAACATTCCATGGTCATCTATCTGTAGTTATGTTTATGTCATCATATCATTGAAGGCCAGTTTGTACAGAGAGAATGTCCTTGGTCACTCCAGCGGTCAGTTGAGTCTAATTACAATGTGTAGCACATATGTAATAATAAAAATGTCAAATCATAACATTGTCTGTTTTGTTTATTTTTCTTGCACCTCTTGCTCTCTAGTTACTAGGGATATGGTGAGATCTCGCTCCGTGAGATCTCGCGAGATCTGATTGATTGAAACTGTGACATTTCTCATCAGATAAAAAGCTGTCTCGCGAGACTCATGCAAATTACATGTTTCATACGCTGTAAAACCACACATTGATTTTCTCATGCAGTGAAATACAAATGTATAACCGATAAGATAGACTCACCGAGTGAATCGACTCCGCCCCGCTGACTGACACCGATGTACGCTGTGATAGTAATCAGCTAGACCCGCTCTGATTGTGAGTCCAGGGGTCTCATGGGACTACTACTGTGTAAAATAAAATGAAATATTCCCAATGCCCAATGGCAATACTTGAATGAAATGGAAGCAGGAAACTAATACAATAACTAAACGTTGTTGGGCTGCAGTGCAAAAACACTTTTTATTTAAGTTATTTTTGTCTTTAATTAAGTCCTTTGATTTTTAAGTGTAGATAGGTAGCACAGAAGAGTATCTCTTACTAAGTGTACAAAGACTAGATAGCATTTAAGTCAAATGAAACACTTTTTTACACCAAGAATGACCTATGCACCACAGGCTGGGTGACTCTATCCACACAAGGAAAATTTAATTCAAATTGGTCCTACTGCTGGACAGTTTATTCTGCTTTGCGCTCGACAGTCTATATCGAGAAATACTATACCACAACATGACTGTTAATAATATGCAGATCACAGGTTCAGGTGTGATGAAGAGGTTTTGGAAACTGATAAAGACTTAACATAGCATGGTTTACTGAGCCTGGAGATACAATAGGAGATACAGTGCCAAGACACAACATGTTAGCACATTAAATGCCAACACCAAATCTGAAGGACAACATCTTTTAGTACCTTTTATGTTTCTGTCTTCTGTCTTCAGGATTTGGGAGATGAAATGAAATAAATTGAAATTCTGCATAATGGCCATTTCAATTTTCAATTAAAAATGACATGTCTGTACAGTACGTATTCTGATACATTTTGTAAATGCTTTGGATAAATGCATAAAGACAAAATGTGAAGTTTTGGCTCCACACCATCAACGAAAGGTACATTGAAAGTTATTACTGGTGATTTGCAAAGTTGTCTTTTTCATAAATCTTATAGGCAACCAAGTAGTAAGAAACCCATTCAAATAACTATTGTTTTAACAAAGCCAAGAGAAAATACTTTTATTAACTTCCTATAACAAAAACAATTTCTAACAAAGGCATTTATTTAAGATTTAGTCAAACCTTTGAAACAAAATCTTACATTTAATTTACATGCAAATGTGTTCAATCATCAGTCCTCCAGTACATATATAAAAAGACACTACAGGATGGCAGAAGAACATATTTACATAATTCAGTGTTCAAAAAATCCTATTTACAATTTATTCATTGAGAAAGAACAAGTTTGTGCTTTAGTTAGAAAACTAAGAGCCATCTTTATTCTGAACAAGCCTCAATACTGATCACATTGACCTGCTCCCCAGCACACCGTCTGGCTCCCACCTCACACTCTGTCACCGTGGTCGCTACGCTGCCAACACCAGAGTTGAGGCACAGGGGGGCGGAGTCTTTAGGGCATTCTGTCACGTTCTGACATACACATTTTCTTGTCGAGTCTAGAAATGAAAAAGTAACAGTTATATATACTGATACAGTCACACACATGCTCATATTAAAGAATTTAAGGATTTTTGGCCATCATTCCTATCACTTCCTGAGATGGGGGGAAGAAACACTTGCAGTCAGACTATCAGACAGTTCGTAAACAAAACCCCAGGTTAGCTAGACTGACTTAGCAAACAGAAAAATTATTGACCCAACTTTCAGTTGTAAACATCCATCAAAGTTTACAGACCCCTTACTTTTTCAGTGAAGGATTATTAGTAATATTTTGAGTGTGCTCACTTTCATTTTGGCTAATGGACCATCTGGTTAAACTATGAACTATGAAACTATGTTTCTTGTCCCATCGGACTAAGATGTAGAGATTAATACAGTGTTAATATAACTGATAGATTGAAATTATGGTCAAAACTACAAAAATAAAAATGTCGTAATACATAGGAATTTTCCTTTAAAAAAAGTTCAAGCAGACTTACCCTGACAGACTGTCCCTGGTTTGCAGTCCTCGCAGGACGTGGAGGTCTCCACTGGCCACTCACAGTCGCTGTCACTGGCCAACGTGAAGCTCCGCCCCATACACCGCAGAGCTCCAAGCTGACAAACACTAAGTAAACGGGTTCTGCTTGAGTCAAGTCTAGCACACAACTGCAGAGAATTCCTAAATGAAGACAAGATATAGAACGATGCAGTATTAAAATTTTGCTTTTTACTTAGACCAGGCATTTCCTTGTGTGTTATGCAGAAAATATCAAAAATCATACTCACGAGCACTGAAATGGCATCTTACAGACACACTCAGTTTTTCCTAAAGTCTCCCATGGCTTACACTTCAGGCTAGATGGAGGAGAGGGAGCTGTTGGCCCTGAGAATAAAATTTAGTTAGCAGGATTGGTGTGTGTCCACAGAAACACAATCTTTAAATATATCTCTCATTCTACGCATAAAGCATTACAACCCATCTCTGCAGCTCTCATCGGTTCTAAGGAGCTTTACAGTGACTTTCAGCTCATTTTTTTGGTTTGGAAACATGTGAATGCTTAAGCTGCCATAATCTGGTGGATGTGTAAATAGCCTACTGTTTGCAAGCATGTTAGCCACATTAACTTAAAATGTGATGATATGCCAGTGTTGTGTTCAAAGTTTGTTTCTGCTTCCTCCAAGAGGCAAAATAAACAGATTTAATTTGGATAATTTGGTATAGACACCCAGTCTGAGGTTTTGGATAAATCTTTCATTTTCAGCTGCATTGCCATCATTTGCCATCATTGCTGCCATCTAAGATGATGACAAATGAGGGCAATGCAGCTCAAAATGAAAGCTTTTTGAAAACATTTTAACCATATGTTGCAGTAAAACATTAGGTAAAGCAAAAGGTTTTTTTTGCCATTAGGGGTCAGACAAATGGCAAAACAAACTCTGATACAGGATCACCATTGTTCTGGCTAACTTGTTAACAAAAGTTTGCCTGTTTACACATCCAGCAGACACAGAGCAGCAATATCATCTCAATGAAGTCCGTTTATGTACTGCTGATGAATGCAATGCAATAGTCACTCTCCTTTTAGCTTGGTCTCAATTAATTCCTGAGAAAGAAGTGCACAGTGGGTTTATCAGATCTTGTTTGATGAAAACAACTGCTCCCATCTGCAGGAAACAGGGATGGGACTTAACCAAACAAACAAAGTTGATGATAATTATTGGTTTGTCAAAGTAGGATCAAGTTTCTTGATCCTGAAGTTGATCCAATCCATGTCCTCTGCAACAACACTTTCTGCTTGGAATTATATGAAAATAAGGTTCTATGAAGGTATTATTGGAGCAAAACCCTTGAGCACCTGTGACAGTGAAATTTGTAGTTGTAGAAAATAGTCAGATCAAACCTTGATGGGATGATTTTATACTGAGAATAAATGTACTGTACCGGCTTTACAATGAGCACTGGCCGGAGAAGGAGACCACTGTAGACTGGGACTGCACAAGATCTCTGACACCTCAGCATCCAGCACTGACCCTGCAGGACAGGACAGGGACACCCTGTCTCCAATCTCATAGGCTGCTTTGGTGGGCGTGGCTTTAACTTCACTGTTGAGTTGAGGAATCGCACACGTGGAACCTGGAATAGAAAGAGAGGCATTATGGGGAAAGAAGAAATAAGAAAAACATAACAACCAAATCTTTAGAAAGGTTTAACCTGCATCTGGATCAACATGTGCATTTAAAAAAACATCTCATGGCAAAGTATCTCATGTTTTGTGGAAAATACTTAATTCCCACATTGTGCAAAAACACAAGTGACTCAGACTCATACAGAGCAGAGATGTGGACTCAAGTCAGTTTCAAGACTCAGACCCAAGTCTAGATCTAGGACTTGCTTAACTTGGGACTAAATAGCTCAACAGCACTTAGATGGATAAAGATGAAATTTGGTACAGATGCTCATGTTCCCCAGATGATGTATCCTAATTATTTTTGTGATCCTCTGACTTTCACTCTAAGGTCACCATGAGGATGACATTAGCTTTTCAATAAAATTGAATTCAGACATTCGTGTTTCCCTCAAGATGAACTACAACAACTGTGGTGATCCCTTAACTTTTCATCTAGCTCCATCATCAGGTCAAAATCTTCATTTGTACAATACTTTGGTTTAAAATGTGCTAACATTTACCTCAAAGTGCCACTTTGCCCAGCCTCACAGAGCTGCTAGCATGGCTGTGGACTGAATTTGGCAACATATTACAGGGAAATGGTATGCCATACCAATGAAATCAAAAGATCTTTTTTCTGTCTGTTACAGGAAATTGTTCCTGTTAATGAACAAACAATGGAAGTGAGTATTTAACCTCCCCGACAGTTAATAAAGTGAAGACGTACTTTTACAAACCATCACTCCTGTCCTCCACTTCTGGTTTTCAGTGCATTCAGCCAAAGCGTCTCCACTGAGGTAATGACTGCCTATGCAGGAATACTCCACCGTGTTTCCAACCAGGTAAAAATCTCTGGGATTCTGAGAAAACAAATGCAAAAACACTAGCAATAATCAAAAGCATGCACTTAATCACCTCCTTTCCTGTCTGCCACACAATAACTAAGAAGAAGCACAAAAGAGCTACACATTTTGCAACCTTATCTGTCACTCTTTTGGGAACTTAGTACATAAATGGAAAAACAGCGTCAATCAAGCAAACCTACCTGAATAAATCCATTCCTGAGGTTTGGAGGCGGCCCACATGTCTTTGGTGGAGTCACAGAAAGACTGAAGCACTGAGGTTCCATCATCCTGCACACAAACAGTTTACAGTGAGAAAACATTTTTTAACGATGCTTT